GACTTCAAAGGTTGGTGGACCTTCAAAACACTATTAGGTAATTTCAACCAAGTAACACACAATTATCAGAAATATCAAGATGCTCTTTTTCTATGTACCTGCGCAATATATGGATAGGCTTCATCCACAATAGCAAATTCAGGATTCCCGACCAAAGCTATTCCCTCCAGCACCCCAATTGCTCTAATTATAAGTGCGAAATAAGGCGGTATTCTAAAAGGATAATCGAACGTTATTTGTGCTAAATCTGATGCCAACTCCTGAAAGTTGATATTCTTCGCTCCCCCACCCTCAAGTGCTTGATCGAAGACCTTGGCCAACACAGGCAAAATGGGTTCTAAATTAACTCCTTCAGGAATAAAACCAAGCTTAACGAAGTCTTTTACGATAGAACCATAATCTCGATGAATAAGGTGTGCAATGGCTTCAATCATGCCATATTTCTGATCATCTGTCAATTTGGTTACCAAACCTGCCATGTTTTGACCAGTTAATGAAACCTAAGAATCATCGAAAACCAAACCTAAATAGAACATTAAACTAAAACAAATTAGGGAAGTGTAAAGTATATTGAATAGAACTTAAGGCAACAAGATTGAAAGTGGGCAGAGAACATACGGTACGAAAAATTTTCATAAGAAAAGAATTGCTCTTGAGATGTATAACATAGGTGAATATTGAATGTGTGAGTCGATGCTATTAATAACGAACCTATTGCATGTCATGTAAAACTAGAAGGCAGTCCATTAAGAATCTTACCAAAATCTAGTATAGCAAGCTTCCCCTCAGGTGTCCGAATTAAATTTCCTGGATGTGGATCGGCATGGAAGAAACCCGTGTCAAGTAGCTGTGATTTCAAGTTGAAGCTAGTTAGATAGTAAGTGATTTATGTATTGATGCATCATTTTCGGAACCTGATAATGCGATGCTCATGTTAAAATTTCCAGTATTTTGTCATCGTTTTTTAAATGGTCTTATGCTCTGTTTAACTTTCGCTGCATTTTCCATGTCTGTTCTAAGGAATTCAAACTTCTTTTTTCTTTAGTTCCCTAAAATGTGATTAATACTTCTGGATGCAAGCTATTTCAACCTTCACAATCAATAATTCAAATAGAGGATGCCAGCAATAACAAGAAAACTTTCAAAACCTATCTCATAATGTTACGTATCAATGACTTACAATTTCTGTGTGACTATGATAATTGATAAGCAACATCCAAACTCCAGTCATAGCATGTAAATTTTTTTCATGGAGGTACACATCGTTCAACATTTCTTTGCCTGTGAAACCTTATTCTTTTTTCATTTTTCTACCTCTGCTCAGCCAAACCATGCTTACTGTTGTATATCTCTCGGACATCAAAGGCTTAGCTTTAGCTATTAAGATACCTAATTTTTTTTATGAAGTTGATGCTTCAGCATATGAAGGTGTTCACTTCTTTCTAGTTCCCAAACACAACATTTGATCTCAACACTAAAATGCACACTATTAGAACTCAGAACGTACAGAAAGTACAACTAGACAATATAAGCACAAGGTCCATGTAGGCAATTACAATAATCTACAGTTCGCAATTTATATTTCCAAAATTCCCTTCAAATATGCCCATTGCCCAGTAATATGCCATGTTTCCTAGCATGAGAGTGTACTTCTGTAAGCACCTTTACTTGAAGTAGTCAACATGATTGACCATAACTCTTAGTCGACACATTAAGGGGAAAACTCATAAAAGCTCAAGTCCATAATATCTGAATTTAAAAAAAAAAATAAATAAAATAAAAACATCATGAGAACAATTGAAAGAGAGAATATATTCACAAGTGAAGAGGGTAAACTTAAGCATGGTGATCTTTGAAAGGAAACCACCTCCATGGTAAAAAGTTCTAGAGTATTTCTGAGATTTAGACAAAGTACAACAAAAGTATCTAACAAATCATTGAGAGTCTGACAGATGATATCCCCATCCAAACTTACAAGTAGAAATATTATAAAGCGTCTGTGTTCTAGAAGTGATAAGTTTGATGCGCTAATTACAGCAATAATTACCTGCTTCAGGTAGCATATGACTCCAACATTCACAAGTTGTCCAACATCACTTTCTGTACTTTGTGACAGTTTTTCTCCATCTATCCATTGAGTCGTAAGAACCTTTCTTGCAGTGTATTTATTGTATGTCTTTGGCACAACAACCTTTATAAAACAGAGGGCAATGGGAATAACTGGGAAATTTTATATATTGTTGGATTAGAACAAGGTTTTGCTAAATAAATATTTCTTTTTCACCCAAGTGCTACAGCAAAATTACCTGAGGTAGGTCCTTCTTCATCATTTCTGCAAATAATGTTCCATTTTCCCCTTCATTAACATAATCAAGCTCCTCGAAGAAACGTGCAGCCCATTCGTCAACCAATCCAACAACATCGATAGATATCTGAAACCATTTAACCCACAATGGTATAACATTATTACATCCATCAAAGGTAATACCAGAACAGAAATAGTGTCGTTAGTACCTGGGGAAATTTGCGAAGAACAAGACCCAAATTTCTTATGATAAACAAATCAATTGTCACAGTCTCAAGAACAAACGGTCTCTGTACCTTCACAGCTACCAAATCCCCGTTTTCTTTCAACCGGCCTTTATAGACCTGGCCGAGGGATGCTGCGAGTAATTTCCAAGGCAAGAATGAAGTAAGTGATCTTCAGTGGTCCGATAGAGCAATGATATAAAACCATAACCAAAGCAAGAGATAAATATAGCAGAACCAATGTAACTGTATATGAAAACAAGGTATAAAAAAGATGAAATCGATTAGATTACCAGCAGCAATCGGAGAAGGAGAAAGTTCAGAATAGACATTATACCACGGCTGTCCGAGCTCCTCTTCAATTAGAGCCATAGCCACATCATCTGGGAACGATGGCACCTACAACAAGCTAAGGCTGCCATCAGTATCGAGGCAAGATTGGGAAAGAATGTACTGAACTCAATAATGAAAAGAAGATTGGGATGGAGCTGATTAAGGTTGATGCATTTAAATATTTGGTATGCTGGCACATCACAGAAGTAAAGTAGTTTCAACACATTCTTCTATTCATCATTAAAATTTAATTTCAAGGTATAAATATCACTTGTCACCTTGTCACAAAGCTTCTGCAGTTCAGTCATTGCACTGGGCGACAGTATATCAGGTCGTATGCTCAATGCTTGCCCAAGTTTTATGTATGCTGGACCGAGAGATGTAACTATCTCTCTCAACTCAATAGCTCGAGCGACTTCGTTCTAAGAAGAAACCAAAAAAATAAAAAAAAAAATAATTACAAATTGAGTCATAACAAAAACATGATTAAACAGAATGATTTTATTTACCTACTCAATCTTATAATTACAATTCCATTTAGAAAAAGTCTGGCAGATACCATAAACAAGATTTGTACAGAACACATTCCATTCATGCCGTAGCCACAGAAGAATATGGTATGCCTCAGTTGGCAGCCCATTCATTATGTTCACAGCAGTACGGCTTAACTTCTCATATACACCCTTTTTGTGTTCTTACACATTAGCATGTCTGAGACCATTTCAATAGACATGGTAGAGCTTAAGCAATACAAATCAAAATCTCTTTTTCTGTAATTCCACCCCCATCCTTCCTCTCTATGTGTTTCTTTCCTGCTGAACTGAGAAGCTGTTTAAATTAAGTCTACATGCATATGCCACTCAGAGAGATGATATCCATTCAACAAAATTCTGGTCTGCAAACATATAAGGGCAGTAAAGCAAAATATAGTTTCAAGTTCACTATAGACATAATATTAAACAACTTTTTGCTAATTACAGATTCATGTTAGTACAGCAACCCAATTTAAGGTCAACCTTGAATTAAATGTATCAAAGTATCAGGATTGCATTACATGGTAAGAGTTTCACTTTATATTCTTTCAAGGCCATTTCAAAAGCCTAGCAACTACATTAACAAGCTTCATTACGTATACACAGAGTACTGCAAAATACAACTTTCAGTTTAATGTTCTTACCGAAGTTAATAGTGGTCTCTGCCATTTCGGTCAAAAGAAAATCACGGTTCTCCAAATGATTAGACAGGTGGTGGACATTTCTATAAAAGTTCATGTATTTTTGTCGGATTCTCGAAAAATCAGACAAAGCATCACATCAGATATCTATTCCTAAGTATCTAAACAAGTTTGGGCATACAGCCCTCTGAAATCTTCTAAACAAACCCTGCAATTCCTTTTCCAATCTCTCGGTCGCCTTGAAAGCTCATTTGCGTTATCCTTGCTTCTCCTTTATTGTAGGCTTGCTAAATACAGTGTAATTCCTAGATATTCAAGAATGGAACTTCCAGGCCACACGACCATAGTTTTAAATGGCAAATGGCGAAGTGAGGCGATTCGCCCATAGCCTCGCCACGAGGCGAGGCGATTCGCCATGTCGAGGCCTCGTGAACACAAGCCATCAAAACTTAATATATATATATANNNNATATATATATATATATATATATATATATATATATATGTATAGATAGATAGTAATATCATATAATTAATCAAGTGCCAAAATAATCTTAAATATCCTAAAAAAAATTACATAAATTAAATTTAGTTATAATTATTGAAAGCATCTAAAACTTAATTGTGAATACTAGTAATAAAGTAAATAAAAGGTGTAAAGTAAAAGAAAATGAAAGAAAACTGTCACCTTTGACTATTGACAAAACTAGTAAACATAAATAAAGAAAAAAAAAAAGTAAAAGATAGGCGGTAGGAACGAGAAAACAGAGAAAAGGGAGAAGAAAAAGAAAGGAAAAGGCACGCATCGCCGACCGTCTTGGCGGCGGCGAGATGGTTGCCGGAGTTCAGAGGAGGCCGAAAATGGTATGGGTCGACCGTGGGTTTATGCAATTTTCAAATCTGAGAAGCCTAAGGAGTTCTTTCGCATAAACCCTAGTTCTAGTTTTGGGAGAAGCCATTTAGGGATTTTTCACCGAAGTTCTTTTGCTTCGTGGATCTGTAATAATTTATTCTCTTTCCAAAATGTGGCACACGCTTTTTTTTTTTTTTTTTAAGGACAGAGCCTTTAATTTCTCTGAAAGGAGCCGAGGCGCGCCTCACAAGCGCCTCTTGCCACGCGAAAAGGCGAGCCCAGGCGACCTGAAGCGAGCGCCTCGCGAACAGGTTCGCCTCAGGCAGTGGCGAGGCGATATGGCCCTCGCCTCGGTCGCCTCGCCTCGAGGCGTCGCCATGGCGTCGACATTTTAAACTATGCACACGACATTTCCAGTTCAAAAAGAAACTTAATCATCACATTGTTCAAAGATGAATCAAAAACCTTCAATCTAAGTCAACCCACAATATAGTTATTAAATTGAAGGTCGCAGGACTAGAATCTATTGCTTATCAAAGGTACCCAGTATGCTTGTAGCGTATCTGAAAATTTGATACGGAATATAAATATATATTGACAGTTTAAGAAGATAGATGATGCTGAACCTCACCTCTTTTATCTTATTATTTACTAGATCCCAGATAAGGCGAGAGAGAAACCCTCCAGCAACGGACAATAACTGAACAATACGTGTAGCAACGGCACGTGGTCGTTTTCCCCAGTAAGCAGCAATGCTATCAGGATCATACACCAGTGGTAAGAACTCACTGCTCTCATCTACCTGGGGTTCATATCATCAATGTTATGAGTTCTCACCAAAAGGAAAAGAAAAAAGAAAAGGAAAAATCATTCAATAGCATCAAGTATGAAAAACACCATTTCAACATCAAGCACAACAGTTCCAACAAATAAAAAAACGAGAAAACTAATGTCTGAAATATTTAGTTATATTATATAACAAGTAGAAATATCCAGTATAACTAGGAACATGAAACATATGATATAGTGCGAGAACGTTATAAACAAAAATATAAGTAGCTTACTGCTTTGCCTTTAAAATTTTTAGGGATTATTGCAAAGAGTACAACTAAATATTTTTTCTTTAAAAAAAAAAAAGCAAGCTAATTTGAAATTAAAAATAATACTTTATGCTCTGATCATTAACACAAACAGAAATTCCTAATATTTATCATATACATATAATTATAAAATCCATTAATTTTCGAATTTTCCAAATTTTAATGACCCCAACTTTTAGTCCCACTTTACTTTTTATATTCCTCATTTACTGAAATCTCCAAATATTACAAATATCCATATGAAAAGTTATACTTTGGAAGTTGGATAAGTGGGCCTAGGTAGAACTCATCTCCAAAAGTTAGCTTCAAAGGAGAGGGCGCCCAAACCGACAAATTTCTAATACCAGCCCTCACAAGTAGCATGCCAAACCAAAGGTCCAAAAACCAACAACGCAGACAAACAAGCAAACTCGGATGCTCTGATACCATGATAAAAGGGAGCGTAGGTAAAACTCACCATCAAAAGCTAACTCAAAGGAGAAGGTTCTCAACCTAACTCAATACACAGCTACAGGCTAGTAGCTAATTGATGTGGGATAAACCATTTCTAGCAATGAGATGTTAAGTAAATGTATTATATTTGATGTGGTCAGTATATTCTTTCAAGTCATCATACATTAGGGCCAAAATGTAAGAATAAGTCAAACCTCAAGGGAAATTTCTGTAATTATCAAATTTAGGTAGGTTGTTCATGTAAATGCCCTTTAACCTCAAGATAGTTTTGTAATCCCTACTTATAATATTTTCATTTTTTGTTTTAAATATGAAACATATGAGTGTTACTTTGTAAGAGATATATAATCATTTTGTTCTTCAAAAACCACCTGTTATTGTATTTTTATTGATGTTATTGAGTTCACATGAAAAGAGCAACATCCAAAGTAGTTGAAAATGGCAAAATGTATTTCATTGCGATATTCAGCCATCATTAAAGTCATTCATTAATACATCACAATTGACAAGTATTAGCTTGTGAAAATATGCCATTACTAACATGTAAGCTAGAAAAATCAACAGCTTTACTGCCATTTACAATATTCAACAAAACTGCGTGATTTCAGGGCTAATTATGAAAATGGTCTAGGGATGACTAAGAATAGAGGACGTAAATAGAGAGAGAGAGAGAGAGAGAGAGAGAGAGAGAGAGGAAGTGTTAGAAGAACAAAGCACGACAATCAGAACAAGTTAGATGAACTTTACCAACCTCAACTAAACGAAGCTTGATGTTATCATCCGCAAATAGTGTGTCATTCAAATTTTGACCCCGAAGCCCTTGCATAAGGATAGCCAACTGCTCATTCTCTTCCATTTGTGCCCTCACCCTTTTGATCTCTTTTGAAACATCTTGCATTCTCTGCCAAAATCACAAAATAGGAGGTGATATCACCACAAGGCATCAAAGAATGCCCAAAAGTACAAGTAGCTTTATCCCTCTTCAGGAAACTAAATTAAATCACGAGGCAGCTAATTAAAAGTGGGAGAAGGACATAAAACATTTGTGGAGATATTTCACATTTCTCATTCAAAAGTGATTCTATCTTTCAGGTTCTCATTTCTTTACTTATTTGTGTTTCTAACTTATCATCACTTCTTTCTTTACAACTTTCTGCATCACTTTCATCACAGGCAATGCGAATTTTACCAGATTTTCGAACTGTACCAGGTGAACATACATCATTTAAATTACGCTTTCTTCGAATTATCTCAAAGTACTTTCCTTTCAAGCTGTTAGAACAGGTACTAACATTCCATCAACAATAACAGTCAGCCCTCACCACTTAGCTTGATCACAATTAGCGAACAAAAAAAAAAAAATTAACCTATTCTCATAATTTTATATGAAAAACTTAACCTATGAAGAGCGAACTAATTTTTCCTAAAGGATCAGAAGTTAATAGAGTCCAGAAAACCTCCAATTCCAACCAAATAGAGAAGAAGGACCTATCAACACTTACAGAGGATGCACCGTTCGCCGGCTTGTACGACGCCGTTTTGGGGGATCCGTCAATGCCTTTTGTCTGCTTGGTATCCGATGATGGTCTAGACTCGGTTGCAATGGCTCTCACAACGGAGTTCCGCTTGATTCTCGGGAAAAACCTGCGACTCCTGCTCTTTCCATAGGATGCCGAGGTACGGTGCAGAGGATCTATTCCGCAGTAGACGAGCTGCGCAGCTGCGTCCATGGCGGCCCAACCTTTTCACTCTTTCTTCTTCCTTTTTCTTTTTTTTTTTATATTACAGTATAATAATATAATTGTTGACTCGCTGAGAGTGTGAAGAATATGTGAACAGCAATTATAGTTTTTTTTTTTTTTTTTT